TTGTCTTTTTCTTGTTATTGTGAGGTTTACACATTTAGATGGTTGGAAAAAATCTCATTATCAGTTAGGGACCAATTCTGCAAGCTATTCAGGTCATGTTGGACATTAGGAAATCAACTTGGCACATATTTCCTAGATAGCTAGAGCAAAAGTCAACTGAAATAAAGAAAATTTTTTCATGAAAAACAAAAGACTTTAAGAACTTTGATAAACAAGACAAGAATATTATTTGTAATGAAAAAAGCCAAACTTAAACCACTTAATGCATGTACATGTAGCTATGAAATCCAGAGCTGAAAGTGTTACTAGTTGATTTTTTTAAACAACCTGTAAAGTAATCATATTTTTATGAATATGTAGAGAAAAAAGAATTTACCTCATCATTTCCATCACTTTCTGAATCAGAAGCATCTTCATGTTCAGATGCTGATGAATTCTATAAAATAAGCAGCACAAAAAGATAACAATAATTTTATTGCTCCATTTTAAGTGCTTTTAAAATTAAATTGTGTGCACAAATGAACAGTGAAGCCTACAAACTGAATTAAACACACCCTTGTTGAAGGCACAAGTGTAGAAACTTGTCACAATAGTAAGAGAGCCCCAAGTGCAATAGCATTCGGTCAAATTTGTCAAAGAAAATACTTGATCACCATTCAACAATCTCAAGGAAGGTTAACAAGTCTATTTACCCACTGACAGTCATTATAAATCTAAACTTAACTTCAGCAGTACAAGTTACAATGCAATCATACTACCTTTGCTCACATCATTTTTAAGACTTTTCTTTACGGAAATGCAATAATATTTCAGTGGTTATATGTCTCACAAACTTAATTCACTATTCTTCTTCTTCTTCTTCTTCTTCAGACATTGGCTCTTCAGGCAACAACTATGATATAAAAAGATTTACTTGAAAACAAATGAAAACTGTTCCATGTGGAAAATGAGGAAAGCATGATACATATTAGCTATTAATGTAAAAGTGATCACTTGCTTTCTCTTCTCCTCCCCCTAAAAACTACTGGCAAATTACAGGTCATTGCAGAGCAAAACCTGGGGGGTTACAAGCACAATAACCCACAAGGAATGCTAGGATAGCATGAAAAAAGCTTGTAAATCAGCTGTCAGGCCTATGATTTGCAAGCTTTTTGAGTGTCCTCCCAACATCACAAGTAGGTTTATTGAACTGGCAAACCCCAAGGAAGTGTGGTTTATCGCTCTTATGAAATAACTAAGGGAAAGGTTCTTCAGAGAAATAGGAATCTATATCCTATTTTGTGATCAAATGTCTTATTCTAAACAAGTTCATTGGATGACAAGGTTAACCAATCACAGATGCTGAAAGAATAAGACACAGGTACAGGTTTAGCACCACACACAAAATCCACATATCAAGACAACAAAAACATTCAAAAGTTCTCCTAAAGCTATAAAAGTCATACGAAAGGAAAGGAAAAAGGCAAACTGCCACAGTTCAATGTATCCAATGATTTTAAAGTTCTTTAAGGTAGAAATCTAGTAAACTGTGGCACGAGTCATTTTTCCTGAAAATACAAGACTACAAACATTTTGCAAGTTTTCAAACTTCACAGACTGACAAAGGTATTGAGAATAAAGGTTAGTTCCAGAGAGCCTGCTTTGGAAATTTATTACAAATTTAATTTATTCCATATTTCTTCGTTTTTGCTAAATAACAGACTTAACTGAAAGCACTGAAAGCGCATAAAACTAGAAGTATGATTCCAGCCCATCCAAGGACTCCGCACAGGCTTTAACAATAAGGTTTCTGGGTAAATGTTAACTAAATGAAAAGACATGCATGTTATTGATGTTATTCCAGTCTGGTGAAAGCAAAACTGTTTATTGTGTCCCTTTGCATATGTTTGTTTCTGTGTTTTTGGTTTTTTCCTCTGATTCCTTCACTCCATCTGGGGTGGGCCAGAATTGCCATTTTTGTGATCCACCCTCAGGAAGTTTTCCTTGTGGTCATTTATGAGAATCATTATCCTCTGTCTTAATCATCAAGTAAACCAAAGACACAAAAAGCTAAAGGTAATTCTTTGTCCTTATGCGTAGTCAAGCATAGTGCTGTCATATAAGGAAGCCAGAGTTTACTGTTACAAGAGTACATAGGTTTGCCAACTGTATTGATCAACCAGAGCATGTGTAGAACCCGAGTTATTTTATAAACCATTGTAAAATCTCATTCTTTAATGCCAGGTGCCTCTTCTTTAGGCACATAGCTTTTTTCTACATGCTCTTTCCATTTCTGGCATTCTTTAAGTTATACCCCATAATTTAATGACAAGTAGGTCGCCTGACAGCATAGCTGCAAAGGGCATATTGTTAGTGAGAGAAGGTCTCCGAAATCTGTGAATGGCATTGTGTAAAATGAAGGATAATAAACACAATAGCCTACATTTGGCTAAAAATTATGCACGGATATTTGTAGTGAAATGCCTTAGGATGTTTGTTTTGATTTGTACATAAAGCCGTATAAAGCCAAGAAGTACTTACTTTAACGTGCTCCAAGTGAAACAGCATGCGCACTGGTGAAGAGCAAACACGCTTCAATTCCGATATCGTGTTGTAGCACTTTTTTACATATGCATAAAATGCGTGTAAAGTCCGTGTATGTATGCCCTCATATCATTGATACTAAACATGTAGTCTCACTCGAGAGACATCAGTTATACAAAAGATTCACGAAAACTTGAAGCGTCGTCACAGTTATCTTACCGGCAAAACAAAAAAGGTTTTTGTAGCGTTGATACAGATAAAAGTGGCGATTGTGATTAATTTCACACTTCACGGTCGAAAATCGTACGAAACGCAGGTATCATCAGGGCTCCTATTAAATTCCAGCTGAAAGTTGTTGGGAAAAAGCTGGGCTCGAGATTGTTACTATAGAAATATTGTCGTTCCCATTCCTTTGCACACTCAGAATTTATCGTGCTTACTAACATGCGCAGTCATTTTACCGTCGTATCGAACTCTGAATCAACGCGGAAGTGTTGGATACCTCTGCCAGTCGACGAAGTCTTACGAAATTGTGGGAAGGAAATCGCGGTTGACGTGTCGCGTATTACTATAGGAGCGTAGCTGGTAACCTGACAAATAAGTTCAAAAGATGAAACTCGACTTGAATGGACGGCTGCTTTTCCTCTCCTCTCTTCTGTGTTTTACGCAGTTATCAGTTGTTGGTAAGGAAATGGATCGGTTGTAATGTAAATTCGCTCTGTTCGGTGGTTTTCAAGTATTTAGGATTTTCCTTCCTTGTCCAGTCCGCATTTAAAATAATTATTTTTCACCTGACTTGACCTTTAAAGGCCGTGTATTATTTTTGCACCTCATCATGTCTCAGATGATGATTCAAAGTGCTCTGTGAGCAAACTCGTTAATTGACACATGATTTTTGGATTATGTTTAATGTTATCTGGTTTAGGGAATTTTGTGGTTGATTGTCATATCTAGAGTACGAGCAGTAGTTCAGTGTTCGCTAATGTAGCAAAGAAAAAACGTCTATCATTTTTGTTTGTGGTTCAAAAGAAACGGTTGGAAGTAAATGTGGGTGAAAAGTGAAATTTACTCTCTATCATTGTAAATATTAGCAAATCAAGGCAATACTGTCTTAATAAAAACATTAACGATTCCCTCTTTATCAAATGAGACAAACGGGAACGAGTTTTGAGTGATATAACTAAGCCAAGGCTGCCACCGTCAGTCTGGGGAGTTGCTACATCACGGGCGACGAGCGGGGAAAGAAGAAAAGATCGAAATACGGGTGGTCAGCGGGGAAACGAATTTAATACTTCCTATAGATACATATCAGTTGTAGTTACAGAAAACAATAGTGTTGTAAAGCCGAAATGTTAACCAGTATCCTTCGCTAAATAAAATGTTAAGCAATTTTTCAAAAGTGTTGATGGCACATATATCTTTTGCTGCTGTATTAAACAATGGAGGCATCAGAAAAGGCATGGGTGGCATTCAGAAAGGCACCAAGAAAAATTATATTTACGTTTTGTAACTTGCGAAAAACAATCTTTGTAAAGCCAAAATGTTACAGGTTATACTTCGCTACTCAAAAAGTTAAGCAATTTTCCAAACGTTTTGACTGGAACAATATTTTTACTGCTATATTAACCAATGGAGGCATCAAGAAGGCATCGCGATCGGTGACACCGGGAAAGGCATCAAGAAGAATGATATTTACGATATATAACTTGTTGTAGGACGAAAAACAGTCTCTTGACTTGTTTAAGGCGTTAATCACAGTTGGTTTGCTTTTCACTTGAATTTTGCAATCTCGACTTTCGATTCCGGAAAAATGAAAAGCTAAGCAACTCTAAAAAAATTTCGTTCTAGATTTTTATATTTTTAGAGTCATTAATAAGTTTGTATCCACAGCCTTCAGATAAGAAATTTAAAATTTCCATCAGCTGTAGTTCTTTTAGTGTTTATTATGTGTATTCAATCGCCTCATTACACGTGAAAAAGGTATGTAAGAAAACATTGAGCTTCGAGAAACAGCCAAGTGAAGGCTAATGTGTTTACCATGCTTAAATATTTATAATCAAATGAACTCGGGATGAAAACCGAACGGCAGGTGAAATGTTGTGTTGGTGTCTCTGTCCCCCCACGTCTCTGCGAAAGGTA